GATTTAAATGACATGTCCTGGTCAAAAATAACACCAAGGTTTTTTACTTTATTACCGGAGGTCAATTTAATGCCATCCAGGTTAAGTGATTGACTAAGCAGTTTCTTTTTTAAAGACTCCGGTCCAAGATTTGATTTTACACTGTGAATCAAAGAGCTTTCATCTCTAAATTGTTTTGTTTTGTTTTTTTCCTCAAAAGATCTATAATATTTTGAATGATTTCAGCTTTTTTACATACAAAACAAAAATCAGTTGCTTTCAAGTTGCCAACAGGTGTTCCACATGGGTCCGTTCTCAGCCCATTACTCATTGCATTTTATTTCAGTTGTCTTCAGTATATTTGCAGATGGTGCAGTAATGTATACACATCTTTACAATATGCTGCAAGTTCCACATGAGTATATAAACTCCATACTAGATGTTAAAGTAATGTTAAATCAGTATGGTGCACCCAGAGTATCTAAATCAGCCTGTATGTTTGTTTTACCAAGTCATACAGTTTTAGTGTCGAGTCACATGTTTCTGGATTAAGGGAGAGACTTTAAGTTGTTATTGAATGGGAGTATGATGGAGCTGTAGTTTGAAATAAATGTAATTACAGGATCAGATTGCAGGTTTATAAAGATTTTGCATGTGAAAACATACAGAAGAGAAGAAAAAAGATTTAAACACCCTAGAAACCCTTTTCTTTGAAAAAAGTTCAAGTTTAAACAGAAACCCTGAAGAAATATTTAGCTGGCTTTGATGTGAGATGGGTTTGATTCAACTGCATGTATGTGCTTGCATGAATAGAACAGCTGTACAAAAAGTACAGTAGAGCCACAGGCAACAGCTGTTTTTCTCAGTGTACTCTTCAAAACCCGATTTCTTGAAAAACAAGAAGTAAATAAAATATGATTACCTTAAATTCTGAATAGCATTTATGAACATCATGTATTGAGACAGAGACACTAGCATTAGTACAGATGTACTGTAGATGGAAGTCACTTCATGTGTAAAAGACAGGTTTAATGGTAAATTAGGCAGTAGTTGAATTATTTAGGTTGTGATTATAGCAATCTATAGTGCATTCATTTTGTGTGTGTAGTCACAACATGTATTGGGGAAGGATGTCACACTCCAGTTGAGAGTGTTGTTTTAGTAGTATAAAATAATAAATGGAAAAATCCTTTGGATATGCAATTTTTTATGCTAACTTCAATTAGTCCGTATTGACATGAGAGCATCACACACAGTTGGTGCAGATTCGTCGACTGCAAATTCATAACGAGAATCTCCCATGTCATCACATTCCAAATTTGCTCTATTGTATTAAGAACTGATGATTGTGAAGGCCATTGAAGTACAGTGACTCACTTTGTGTTCAGGAAACCAGTCACAGAGCTTTGTGACATGGTCCCTTTTCCTGCTGGAAGCAGCATCGAAAGTTGGTTACTGCGGTCATAAAGAGATGGAAATGTAAAGCAAAACCACTCAGCCAGGCTGTCCTGAAATGCTGACGCAGGGCAGAATGGATACATGCCTACAAGCTGTTTACCAAACTTTAGCCGTACCGTCTGAATGCCGCAGCTAAAATTGAGATTCATCAGATTAGTCCCTCTTTCTGCCCCATGCTTAACAAAATACACACCCTCTCAAGTTAAAAATAGTTGAAAATATATGTGACATATAAATAATAGTAAGCGTAGAAAATTGTTTATTGAGTTAGACCAGTTAAATAAATATAGGAAGAAGTAGAATTAATAAACAAAAAGGAGAACAAGCAAAATCATTTTGTTAGCTAAGGATAGATTCATTTACTGTAAGTTAAGACATAAAAAATAAAGATTCTCTATGTGCACAGAAACTTTCCTCTGCTCTGGGTTGTCTGTGTAAACTTCCTTCTTTGCAGACACTTTCCCTATTTGTCTGCAGTGTGAGAGAAGCAGGTTCAGGTTAGCATTTCAGTATACACAGCAGCGAAGCTGTGTGAATATGAATCAGCAGTTACATAACAGCCAGGCCCCCAAACTGTGCCTGCTCTGTGCTGCTTTCACCGCATTTAACAGACCAACACAAAGAAGCTCATAATCCTGAAGCGGAAGGAAAATTATGCATGCATCAAATAATTTACAAATAAAAACCTAGAAAATGGGGTTTTCATTTGTATTCAGCCCCCTTTGCACTGGTATCCTTGAATAAAATCCAGTCCAAAAGGCTCTCTTATTGCTAGAAAGAGTCCATCAGTATAAATTCAGTTGTTCTATGAAGGCCTCAGAAGTTTGTTAGATAACTTTAGTGAACAAACAGCATCATGAACACCCCAGAACACACCAGAGAAGACGTTCTGGAGAGGAATAAAGCAGGATTTGTTTCTAAACAAATATTTAAACCTACCAAGACATGGTAGCTTATCTGACAGGCCAGGTAAGGACAGCATTGATCACAGAAGCAGTTAGAGGCCCCTGGTAACTCTGGGAGAGAGAACCCACGCATGCACAGGGAGAACATGCAAACACCATGCAGAAAGAGCCCTGGGCACGAGTCGAACCCAGGACCTTCTTGTTGTAAGGCAACAGTGCTACCAACTGCACCACCATGCAGCTCAGTTGTTAGTTGTATGGTCAACAAATATGGCCTTTACCAAAGAGTGGAAAGAAAGCCATCAGAGCTCCTGTTTACAGTTTACCCCAAGCCATGGTCAGATGAGATCAAAATTAAATGTTTTACCCTGGAATACACGATATATGATGAAAATCTAAACTTGCACATCACCGTCAACACAACATCACTACTTTGAAACATGTTGGTGGGAGAAACATGCTGTGGGGATGCTGGTCAGAGTTGATGGAAAGGTGGTTGGAGCTAAATATAGGACAATCTTGGAAGAAAGCTTAATAAAGGTTGAAAAGGTGTCAGATTGGGGTGGCGGTTCGCCTTCCAGCAGGAACTCAACCCTAAACATACAGCATGTTTGTATGTCAGAATGGCCTAGTCAAACTCCAGGCATAATTCTAATTAGAAATCTGTGGCAAGACTTAAAAAATGCTGTTCACAGACATTATTATTTCCATCTGACTGAGTTTAACAAAGAAGAATGGGCAAAACGTTTAGTCTCTAGATGTGCAAAACTGAGACAAACTCCAAAAGACTTGCAGCTGTGACTGCAGCGGAAGGAGGATCTCCAAACTACTGACTTAGGGGGTCTGAAAACAAATAAATGCCACACTTTCTGATTTTTGTTCCTCTTTACAATTATAAAATATTTTCTTTTCATAACAAAAATCCAAATGAAATAGATTAACGTTTGTGGTTGTAAAAGTGACCAAATGATAAAAATGTCATGGCACTGTAGCTGCACTTACAGAAACATGATAGACTTCAACAAACATGCAATGCTGTGCACAAAAAAATCCTTCTGCCAATAAATTCCATTATTTTTTCTACTTCAAACATGTTTGGTTGCTTGTGCTTTCTGGAGAACCTATTGTGAATTTATTCATACTTCTGGTGAAATATTTCCAATTTCTAAAGTGAACAAAGCTGAATTGTGTTTCATTAGAATAATTATTATGTTTTATCCAATACCTTTTAAAGCGAGTGATGAATGGTAAATATCTGATCTGCTTTGATGACTTCTTGGACTTCTTGATGCCCGTTTGCTGTACACAAAGGGGCATCAGTTTGGGCAAGTATAAAAAAACACCTAATCTTGTGGTTAGAGAGTCAATAAAACAGGATTTTCCCACTCAGCTTATTATTGCCTGAATTTAAATTTTATACTCATAAAGATAATCATGACAGCACTATGCACAAACTTGGGCACAGTGGTGAATAACGTAATGTGTTTCATCTTCTCTTAAATAGTTTCCCACATTAAATTCTGAAAAAAAGATTTAGAAAAAATAAATTGTTTAGGCTAATAGTAAAAAAATGTTCCCTTGGGTGATTTATTTTACAAATCTGATTATATTTCTAATGATTTATGTATTTTATCTTGTAGAATATGCTTTGGAAAACCAGATAAACCAGATTTAATGCCTTTTCTTTAGGGAGGAGCGATTGCATCAGCACCAAAGGCAAAATCACCATGCGTTTCTGTGCTGCCTTCACACTCAAGTTAAGCATGAAACTAAAATCCATGCGAGTCCCAGGGTGCATGTTTTCCAGCAGAACATGTGATTGTGGCGATTAACAATGATCATAATATTATGTCTCAAGATGTTTAATAATGCATTTACACTTTCTTGAACTGTAATTCATGTCGAAACATAACCTATTACAGATTTTTACAGAACTCCTTGAACGCAGCATCAGTTCCGGAAATGTGAATCGGTGGTACGACGTCGCGCCTCAACCAAGAACAGATGCCGCATGAGTCCCGGCCCAATGTCGCCATGCTGTGAGGGGCATTTATTTTTAAATGCATGAAAAAAACCATGCTAGACATTTCTGTTCCTATGTTGTTAGGTCGGGATGCGTCACTTTTTGGTCTGTTCTGGGTTTGTTAAGACCTTCAAAAACTTCATATATTAAGTGAAATGTTAATATTAAAACAAGGAATCCTAAATATAATGGGATATATAGTATGTTGAATCTGCTTGGTAACCACTAAATCCTACCAAACAGGACCGACCCGTTAATGATAATTATAAGAAGAAGAAGACAAAGAGGAAGACGAATATGATTTATTATTATTATTATGTGTTTAAGTTTTTTTCAGAAGTAAATCAAGATCAGTCTAATTGTACATTGTGTTCTGTATTTATTATTTTGATGTGAAGAAATTGTGTATTTCTGTCTCAACAATCACCATTATTAGAATTAAAATTAACCTAAAATATAGCACCAGTCACCAGAACTAGTTGAATGTTAACTTCTGTGCCCGTTTTATTTGGCACAGAAGTTAAAACACCGTTTCCGACCATACCTGCACTAGTTTCCAAGCCGAACGTGCCACTCACAATATGGCGGAGAATGTGACGTCGTCTTGACGACCCTTCTTTTCTGCCACCTACGTCAATCTGCTGGATGTGACGTGACGTACGGGGGTAGGGGGAGGAGGGACCGGCGAGTAACATCTAAAAACCGGCTGGGAAACCAGACGAACGCTGGAAGATACAACGAAACACGGATCAACCTGCTGAGCTCATTATCACATTTCATCATGTCCGAGAGTACCAGTGGGTGAGCAACAAATTAACTTTTTTCCTGCCTGTAAGCTTCTAATTAACGACTTTTATCAGTTTTATTAAGCCGAACACCGGTTTTAACGCATTGTTTTGCCTGATCGTTTACTTATGAACGGTCAAGTATATAGTGTTAGCTAAATTTAATCATCTTATAAAGGAAGCTAAGTATCTCTGTCCTCCTGTTTCCTCCCCTCTTGGTCTGATGGTGGTTTAATACTTTAATGAAGATGTACCCTCTAGATCGGTCAAGCTCGGAATAGTTCGGTTATGAGCCCTGAAACACGTGAGGCGGTTCCAGTTAGTAATTAACCCGAAAACCCTCGCTCCATTTTTCTACCGGTATACGTCGGCTATAACCCTCCGACTCATTACACGGCTTCTGTATTCACTGTCTTCCCGCCCTCCGTGTGCGAGATCCGGCCACATGTGGCACAAATGAGTCAGAGAATCAGTCACAGCTGGCAGACATGCCACCCCGAGTCAGTGTGGGTTCAGCCTCCATCATTTCCCACATGCGGAGTCACAGACTGAGAGCACGTAGCACTCAGGACAGGAGGAGACAGAGGAAAACAAAGACCCTGAAGAGCAATAAAACAATAAAACCTTTGTTTCCAAATATTTCTTTTTTATATTTAAAGTCACAGCTAGTTTAAGGGCTTTGCAGGTGCAATGTGTGGTTGTAGATTTGGTGATTAGTTGAGTTTATGTACAGTTCAGGTGTTTTTCGAATACTACAAACAATGTATATTAAGTTACATTCAATGTTTTTACTTGCATTTTGAAAGTGGCCTGAAAACTGATTTATTAATTTAAATCTTTAACAGTTTTTTACACAAGTCTTTCTCCGTTGTTAAACGCTTGGGAAATAAGAAAGACAAAGAAGGCAGAATACTTCTAGTACTATTTTAGTCCAGATGAGAAAAGGGACGCTCCAATAACAACCTCGGCTCCCCTCACTATCCATCCCAGGGCTCTCTTATTCCAGTGTTATTCCTCATTTCTCTAGAATTATGCTTAAAGTTGTTGATGTTGATTGAAGTAGTTTTTTTTTTGGCCATCATAAATCGCATCTGTGATGAGAATATTTATTGTTTTATGGCCAAGCTAAGTAAAAAGTAAATAACAGGTTTCAAGTGGTTTTAATTAAGGGCATTAAGGTGTGTTAAACACTAAAAATGACTCAGTTTGTAGTCACTGTCATATTTGTGGCCCTTTTGAAATTAGTCCGCAATGTGTATGCTGTGTTTTTCTTGAATGTTAGGGAGGAGGGCATTGTTGTCCATCTGTTAGGAAAGCAAAGTTGTCTTGAGGGATATGAGACAGTGTGAAAGGAGATTGTAGGGAAGGTCGAGTCACAGTATGTCCATTTAAAATTTAAAGTGTGAATTCAATGTCACTTTGTTCTACCATCAGACTCTGCTTAGTCAGAGTTTGCACAATAATACGAGTCCAGCACGATATTACATGTTTATGTTGCTGTCTGTGTGGTTCTGTGTTCATGTAAATATTTCCAAGCAGTGACTGTACAACTTCATCTGACTCATAACATTCCCTTATTTTGACTTTTTGTCTGTGGTGTAAATGAAGTGTGACTGGGCTGCACGTCGTGCAGTACGGTGAAGGGAGTAAACCCTGTTTCTCACTGTTGGGAAATCAACAGAACTCTTGTATTTGGGACATCGTCATACGTTTTGCCCTCTGCTGTATTTAAATATTATCTGCTGACCCTGCTGAAGAATTTGTTTATCGTTATTATCTGTGATGCTTATCTTTGTTATGCTCCCCTCTCCCAGTGGAAGCTATGAGGAGTGCAGAACCACAGCCGACTGGCTGCTGAAACACACCCAGGTGCGACCCATCGTGGGAATTGTGTGCGGATCGGGCCTGAGTGCGCTGGCTGACATGCTCAAGGATCCACAGGTCTTTAAGTACTGTGACATTCCCAACTTCCCCCGCAGCACAGGTACGCCAAGCCCAGGAGGGGAAAAAAAACACTGGTTAACATTTGCATGTTACAAAACCACAGCAGTAAAGTCTAACATCACGTGTGTGTGGGTGTGTTGCAGTGCGTGGTCACGCTGGTCAGCTGGTTTTTGGGACACTAAAAGGGAAGCCATGTGTTTGCATGCAGGGCAGGTTCCACCTGTATGAAGGTCACCCCATCCAGAAGGTGAGTGAAAATAAAAACCTGTTGGTTTAACTTAAAGGTTATGCAGAAACATGACTGAAGTCCGTTTTTTCTGTCAGTAAAACTGAATCCCAAACAACTGCAATGTGGGGGAATGACACTGATTGGTTGATTATGTTTAACCTGCTTTAACAAACCATGAGAGAACTTAGAGGCATTTCTTTTTACTGCGGAAATGTTTTAAAAGACACATCTAAATAATTTGACACAGATGTATTTCTTT